CAATAAAACCGCATCGGCGCGTTTTATATTTGCTTGCACTGGTATTAATAAACACAAATGCTGCGCACGTTTTTTGTGTGACTCAGTGGTTCAAAGCAAATGCTAGCTCCGGAGTATCACTTGAACATAACAATGTTGGAAAACACCATGTAGCACTCGGCTTTAACCCTAACTTAATGTCTACAAGCTGAAGTTACTCAATTTTTAAGTGTTGAGGAGTGTAAATCACGTCATGCATTAGTTTCGACGTTTTTCTATGTGACATTGTCAATTTTTAATTCACACATGACGTTAAGATTAAAACAATGAAAAATCAGCTCTACCAGGTGTTTTCCAAATTTTACAGCAAATGAGTAATTTTTGTGAAATTATTGTTTTACTTATTCCAACAGCGTGACCGGCCAAAGACCCCCGGGTCGTTTGTAGCAGAAGTCACATGGTCGGTGCCGCGGTTTTAGTGGTAACAACCGGGGCCGACAACACTCTGCGTATGTACAGTTTACCGACCCGGCGCTGCGCGCAGTTTAGCTTGCGAGATGCTGCTCGAAACACCTGTTTTATTTTTGCCGGTGTAGCCATGACGTCATGGCGTGGGGTGCAGACACGGCAGACACCCTCCTCGCGCTGCGTCACGCGGACATAAAGCGCGTCGATGGCCGCCGCACCGCCTCGCCTTGCGTGTGAGTGAAAAGCGAACGAGTGGACGTGCAGTCCGGCCGCGGGGAAGAGGCGCTGGGCCCGGCCTCCTAGAGAGACTCTCTGCCGTCGAGACTCTCGAGTCTGCTCTTGCGGTGAGCAAGATTCTGAGTGTCTCTAACCCGGACCCGGAAGCCAAGCCACCTGCTGGCGTGGTGCGTGTTGCGGGCTTGCCTATACCCGCCGGTTGGGCACTCTTTAAATGACAGTAGAAACTGTCCCACTGTGTTTACAACCGTAGAAAAGTCCTCCCAATGTTGCAAGAGTGGCACGTTCCTGTTCTACTATACCGCGTCAGTGGAAATGTTCTACTCTTATGCTGCGTTTTCCTACTGCCAACTGGAGTAAACGAGAGCATTGTACTTCTTGCATCACTGGGATATTTTGTTCCACTCTATGTAATAGTTGGATTTGCAGAGCATGCCAAGCGCCCTGTTTTCCCTGTAGTTTTTCATGTACTCCTTTGCCCCCCTGCGGCCTCGTGCGCACCGCGCCCTGCGCGGCGGCGGCCGGCGTGGTAGACCTCAGCAGGGTTGTTAACGATACAAAAAAAATGTATCGCGATACGTTACGATAACATTCACTCCGAGTTATCGTATCGCGATACTATACACCTCTGATCAGAAATGTAACGCGTTACGTTACGGTATATCGTCGTAACGTCGTTACGATACGGTCTCAAACAGAAAGAGAGCTTTAAAACAAGTACATTGGTGGTATTGCGCTATCCAGTCAACACAATGTCTGATTTTTGGGAGGAAAATGGAAAAAATTTGAGGAACTCCCATATTTGAAGGCATTCTCTTTAGATTTTGAGGAAGTATCCTCAGACGGAGCCGAGGAACTTGCCAAATTTTTAGAAAAGATCTTAAAATCTGAGAAGTTTCTTCTCAGATGTGCTCGAGTTCGTCAAAGTTTTCCCTTTTTCCTTGTGATTTCCTGTCCGACTGTAAAATCGCTTGTATCGTATCGACGTTACGACGTTACGTGTCCTCCATATCGTATCGCGTTACGATACACCGTCGGCCGAAAAAGTAACGCGTTACGATATCGATACAAAAATCGTATCGATATCGTCGTATCGTCGTTACACGATAAAATATCGTTAACAACCCTGGACCTCAGTGTTCGGTGACACAGCAGTGATGTAACTAGACCGCGCTCTCGCTCTCCCTCCCTCGTGAATAGCGCCGATATTGAATGACCTGTCGCCATTGAGCAGTGCAGCCTGCGTGCGCCACACACTTTCCTATCTCTCTCTCTCTCTCTCTCTCTCTCTGTCTCTCTCTTCTCCGTGGGGGGCACAGCAGGCACTCTTCAGAACAAAACAACAGTATTCTACATTCACACCTCGTCAATGTGGGCGTTACAGTTACTGTACTCTCCGCCACCACACTCGTAATTTCTCCTCAAAAAGCTTTTACAAGGGGGGTCGCGCTCTCGGCAGTGAGACAGGCTACTTAAGGAGGTTGGGTAGAGTAGAAGGAGAGGTCACTTTGAGTGCCCATCACTCGGGCTTTAACTCTCGGCAATTTGTCTGCTCGCGTTGTGACGTTAGCCGTGCACTCGCTCGCGTGCCCCGCCGCGCGCGCAGTACACGTGGCTCCGGGGCTCCGGCGATGCCTCTTCTCTGTCTGAGAACTATTTGTTGATGAATCGTGTGAGTGGTTTTTCGCCGGGTAGAGTGCGGTGCACCTGCTGCGGTCTCTCCAGGATGCTCTGCGCCCCGCGCGGCCCGCGGCCGCGGCCATGGCATCGCGTTATTTTCATTCTGCGGTTCGGCGCCGCGGCCGCGAAGAGCGTTCAAAATGGTTTCACGGCTGGAGACGAAAGAAAGGCGGGCTCCGTATTTAATTTTTGCAGCCATATTTGTTTCAAACGGGAAACAGGCTTGATTCTTGTAGCGTCTCCTCTGGCATTTCGGTTGGCGATATTTGAAGTTATCTAAGCTTTTGACGAGGCTTTCGGCCGAACTTCAGTTGGGGTGCACGGACTTCGAGACGAATTTCGATGGAGAAAATTTCTTTGGAGTTTGACGTCAGTACTTTCCGGATTTCTCCTCCCGTTTTCAGCTGCTTTGAATTCTACATTCAAAATGTGTCTCAGCGGGCCAGGGCAGCTCGTGTTGCGATTTCACCTTGCAGGGAGGGGGATTGGTTTTTTGTCTAGTTTTTTTTAACGGGCCTTACTGGTGGCATATCGCTGCTATAGCGTCCTTTGTCCAGGATGTTTTTGTGACTAGGCATGCGCGACGCTCCGCCCGCCCGGGGCCGGTAGTATGTGTCTCGGCATTGAGGGAGTGGTGTACCACTGTACTATACTCTCTTCACAGCCATGCTGCGGCCATGTGCGGACGTTTTCAAAAATAATAATGTAAGAAAATCCCTGTCTCGTTCAGAGGGTGGCGTCCGCATTTGACACGTTGTTTGTTTTCGTATCCGGTCGATTTATTAGCTCGGGGGGACCGGGGCGGCGCCGTCTGCTTTTGTTGTGCCGCGGGAGCTGCGGCGGCGGGGACGCGACGGCTGAGCGAGCAAGCCAGGAGCGAGCGAGGGACCGGCCGGCCGCATTCCCGGTGCAGTTGGTGGTGGCATCTTGTTTGAGTTCGGCGGCTGGGGATATTTTGAGAGATGCGCGACTAGGCGGCTCCTAGACTGCTGGGTTGACGCTCCCGCAGGGTCGCGAGAGTTCACCGCGGGCGGGGTGTAAACATACAGGGGGGCTCAGTAGGTCAGCGGGTGACACGGAGGTATTTCTGTTGATTTGCCTCCCTGCCCTGTCTCGTTCGCGGTGATACGTTCCGTGCGCGGGCGGCGGTGGGGACCCTGCCGCTCTGCAGCAGCGAACGCGCGGGATTGTCTACTGGGCGGTGCTCGATTTTGCAAGTGTAAATGGGGGAACGGGGGGAACGTGCTTGGAATTCCACCACGCCGAGTGTGGCGTTTTTGGACAGATGGTGTGTGGAGAAAATAGTGGTTTTTCTGCTCTAATATGGGCGCGGATGGGATCCGCTTGCGAGCCGGCGGCTTGTCAGGTCCTCTCTGCTTGTCGTGGAGGGAATGACAAATAATATCAACTTTCTCTCTCTTTCGCTCGTTCTGACTGATCGGACGGGTCAGGCCGACTCGCTTTGGGTCAGGCGTCCGTATCCGTCCTGGGCTTTTGCTACCCGGCCTGCCCATATCTGCCGCACTTGGTCCTTCGAGAGAGGCTCCTCTCGCCTGGCTGTCGGAGGTTGCCAGAGGTGTCTGCAAGTGAGAGTGCAGCAGGCCGCCGTGGGCGGGGCCGCGGCAGGGGCCTCAGCTTGGGTGCCGCCCCGGCTCAGGCGTAGTTTTGGAAGGGAACCCGCGGCGTCCTGTTCCTGTCGGGACATATCGTCGCGGCGGCGGCGTGCC